GAAAGAGAAATAATTTGGCAATGTGAGAAATATTTTATAACTGCAGCAAATATCTAATGTGGAACACATTTAGGCTGTCACAGATTCTTAACTCAGCTATCCAGAAATGTGACAGATGCTCAGCCAGGAAGAGCTTTATCCCTCGAAAGTTTGCTGGGAATTTTTTGGTATCATGCATTGGGAATAAATAAAGGAATATATTTATATAGATAAACTGATCCTAAGTATATGAAAATTACCTGGATAGTAAAACTTTAATTTCAGTTGTAGTGGGTGATATGTTACGGAATATTAGCTGTGCATATTATGATAGTCTGAAGTTTGTTTCTGTTTGTATTACTGAAGTGTCCTAGAAGCTGACTGCTGGTTAGAAGACTTGAGTGGGCTTTTTTTTTTTTGTTATTCTTTCTGCTGTACACTATGTTGTACCTACCTGAAAAGAAAGAAGAGTTCAGTCAAGTTTGCCCTGGAATTGTTAGATCTCTCTTCTGGCCATAATATGAGAGTAGCATAAATAATACCTGCTATTTTATTCAGAGCTTTGGCTTAATAGATCTAAAAGCAAGCTGATATTTTTCCTTGGTTCTTTTAAGTTTTGCTGTCTCTCAGTTGTACGTGGATTCTAAGCTGTGCAATCATTATTTCCACCCTCTCTGCGCTTAGCTCAGGCATTTGGCATTGGGAACAAGCCAAAGGAAGGGAAGGGGATGAGAGCAGCACAAAAACAGCAGAGGGAAACCTAGGAAGTGCGTCCAGGCTCCCAGAGTTTTTGGTCTAGGTCTCTGTTTGTGGTGTAAAAGTATTTTTGATGACGTTTCTGTGAATGTTAAAGCAGGAAGATTTTTTTTTTTCACCTTGTGTTAAATTTAGGTGTTGCTTCTGCATTGACTTCTGACAATGCTTATGGCTCGCATGTGTTGATCATGTGTTTAACTCTCGTGAAAGAAAGGGATACCCAGAAGTGGAGAGTGAAAAGCATTCAGTGCAGTTACTGTCTTGACTTATTATATAACCAGCATGCTTATTTCTTGTACTTTTACCATGTAGCCTTTATTTAAATAATGATATCTTCAGAGACATCTTTTGACTTCATCCTTATAATGTACTTTAACACTTTGGTGTTGTCTGTCTCTTCAGGGATGATTCTGTCCCGGAGGATAATATTTGGAGGGGTATCCTCTCTGTGATTTTCTTCTTTCTAATCATCAGTGTTCTAGCTTTTCCTAATGGTGAGTAAGGTTTGTACTGTTTATACTTATGTAACATGTGAATTTCGCTTTATTGCTGCCATATTTGTTTTGATTTTTATTAAAGTACCACTGTTAAATGTATTTTTTTCTTTACTCTTTTGAATTCCTTTATGTTAAGGAACAGTCTAAAAATGGGTTGCAGTCATACTGAGTGGAGATAACTGTAAAATGTGAGTTATTTATAACTTCCCTGTGTCTAACAGGGAAATCAGGTTTTCAAAGTCATGTCCCTGAAGGTACACAGTTGCAGCTCAGATTGCTCAGTAATGATGCTGCCAGATCCTTAAATAATGTTTAAGAGGAGTCTGCCTCAGTGTGTTTTAACGAAGTGTCATTCTACAGATTCTCGGAGAGATAACAGCTTACATAAATTGCCTTACCAGAAGCTATTGATAGTTAGAAATGGTCAAAGTCACGTTACAGTGTAAACCCACAGTTGCTCAGTAGAAATTGAAGTTGGACAAAAGTTTTGGTAATTGTGTGAGGAGCAGAAAGGGCAAAAGGTAAAAAACACTTGTGTGTCACTTATTTCTGTGGAGAAAATGCTGTCTTCCTGGTGGGTGTTGTGGTTTGTTTTTCATTTATGTATGATGTATTTATGTTTAAATTTTGCTTACTGCTGTCAGCAAAAGCATAATTCTTGGGTCAAGTCTAAACTATCTCAGGGTTGGCAGTTTTCAGGAAAAAACAGTGATTGTGCTTAGGGCAGCTTTGTAGTTCAGAGTTGGGATGTATTTTTCTCAGATTTTTAAAATCTGAGATCCATACTTTCCACAAAGCGCTCCCTGAAAAACTGAATGCCAGAGAATAATGAGCTTTATGCATACAGTGGTGAAAGAGCAGCCTGCAGTGTGTGCTGAAAATATTTGTTCAGCCACTTCTTGCCACCTAAGTGTATGATTCATATTTAGAGGTTATCCAGTTTCATTAGACTTACCTTCTCTGCTTTTCACATTAACTGAAAGGTTTTTAATCTAATAAAGTCAGTTTATTCATTGGCTCTAAAGTAGATAATACTGACACTGGTAAAGAGCATAGATATCTTGCTACTTGTCAGATATATGATACTCAGTGTGGAAGTTTTAGGAGGCATTTTTCTAATATTTCAGAGTCATCTGAATGCTAAGCACCATATTTTTCTTCTAACACACGGAAATTTGTATTTGCTGACTTCATTGGGAGCAAGCCACATGTGAGCTGTGGTCTAGAAACAGGATCAAGACATCCTCAGGTGATACCCGAGATGTGGTGTCTGCCGAGCAAACAGTGTATTACTGTTCTGGAAACAACTCTGTAAAAATAATGGAAAAGTTTGTCTGCATCCTACTAATTGGCAGTCTCCCTTTCTGAAATCTGCTGTTACCATTTTTTTTTTAACATAGTGTCCCAACATTGAGGTGTATTATGTAGTTTGCTGCAGAATTGATCCATGCTTATGCCAAATCCTCATATGAGCTATACTCAAAACCAGATTATGTGGTTCTGATTGATGTGTCTTCTAATAGGCTTTATGTTTACTGTCCACAGGACCCTTTACACGTCCCCACCCTGCAATATGGAGAATGGTTTTTGGTAAGTTTAAGTTTTGTTTCTGACTTTTTTGGTGCTTCTGCAGGACTGGCCATTTTAACTTTCAGATGAATGGAATTGTTATGAAACATAATTGTGCATCAAACTTGTGTGAATGTCATTTCCCTTCCACTTCTGAGCAGTTGCTTATAATCTGTTCTTAATAATGTTTGGGAATGTCATTGTAGTTACTGTGTCAGTGTGGTGTAAATTAAATCAGCGGAAAGGGATTATTCATTCTGATACCCTGTTTTAATCCTGTTTTATGTTTGTGCTTCCTAATCTCCTTCCCCCACACCCTTCCCACTGCCATCTCTTTCCAACCCAAAAAGGTTTGGGTTTTTGTAACTACTGCATGTACTATCTCACTTCTAACTAAATCCAGTTTAGTAGGGTGCTTCTTTTCATTATTGGCAAAATATGCTATTACTTCTTATGTTTATTAAATTGTCTCATTGTGTAGCTTAATGTACATTTATTAATATTTTTAACATTATATATATTGCTAACTTATAATTTGCAAAAATACCTGTAAATATTAGTTGCATTTATAGTTTGGAAAATAATGGTATTAACTACAGAACTTACTGAATGAAATTCTGCTCCTTAAACATCTGAATTGCATGGCAAAATCATAAGGAATTTTATTTTTATATAATTCAGGGTTCACAGAGCATATCCAGACTTCAAGCACATTTGCAGAGAATTACGCACATTTGATTTAAAAGCTGAGCTGTTTCTTTTTAAGGAGACTGAATGTTTCTCCTGCCACCTTACATAGCTAAAAATAAGTAGCCTCCCAAAGTAGCTGATTACTCATCTGTTGACATTGAGAGGATAATAGTGGTTAGATAGTACTCGTTAAAGAATCCTGCTCCATATGAAGTTTGGGAGACACAGGTCCTACTACTCACTTCAGGTTTTAGCAAATGTAAATTAAAAGATCATTCTCAGTGTTGATACGGTCGGAGCCTGACCTCCTGTACTTTGGGGAAAAGGCTGCACGCAAAATCAAGGGCAACATTTTTCCTTGTGTAATTCTGTTTCTTCTGGCAAGGCTTATTTAGCCACGCTTGAGGACTCAGACCTGTTCAGCAGATGAAAGGCAGGAGTAGTGTGTCCTCGACATTTCAGGATGCACCCTTGCCTGCAGGTTGTACTACTTGTAGTAGTGTGGCATCTGTTTACCTGATGTGTTTTTAGGGTGTACTGCAGAGGACAGTGTATATGTACTTTCTATTTGTGTGTGTACTCTAGCATACAGTAAGGATTAACAATACATGGGTTCTGGTTCTAGTTTAAAAGCTCTTTTCAGAATTGCTATAATTTATTTTGGATGGCAGATACTAAGTTTATTCATATTACTCTTTCCGCCTTCCATGACACTGCTGCAGGACACAAGTAAGTTTGACTGCTAGACTGTGGAAATAGTGTTAGTGTTTATAAGCTTCTTCCAAATGTGGTCTTAGATAGCTGTGAACTTGTGAATAATGTAAAGATATGCTCCAGGAGCCGCTTCATCTACCCACAGATCTGCACCTAGGACTGTTAACTTCTTACAAGTTTTTCTTTTTTTAAAAAAAATCTATCTTCAGGCACTGGGAGGAGAGAGGCTGTAGTCCCAGATGCAGTAGGGTATCGTAATTTATAATGGTATGAAAACAAATCATAATCATCTTTACCTTTAAGAGCTTCAAACAGGAAACTTTCCAATGCATTAGTTTGTATTTATAATGACTCTGTTGCCAGCATAACTCAGAATTGCCAGGTGGGATCTTTGTTGGAATCTGCATATAGGCTTAGGGACCTGCACTAGAGAGACCAAGAATACTTAAAGCAAAGAGGCAGAGCTAATCCAATCCTGGGGTCCTAATATACCTCTTTCTAAAGAGCTTCCTGGTCACAGCCTTGCACTACTCATGTTTAAACTGATTAGACTGATTTTGTTTTGATTTGGTTCGTGCAATTGAGCACATATATCACTTGAAACAGGAGGTGATATGAAGTGCTAGGTGCTCAGAGATTACCATCTGACTTGTGTCTCTTAGGCTTTTTTGCATGTAGCCACGGTATATAGAAAACTCATTTGTGCAAATCGGGCATGTATAGAGCAACAGTTTGAAAGCAGCTTTTTTGGACTCTCTGTGTCCCAAGGAGTTTTGTGAGTGAACATGATTCTAAAGCTGAGTCTTTCTGCAGGTCTCAGCGTGCTCTATTTTCTGTTCCTGGTGTTCGTGCTCTTCCTTAACTTTGAGCAGGTAAAAGCAGTGATGTACTGGCTGGATCCTAATCTTCGATATGCCACAAGGGAAGCAGATATTATGGTATGTATCCATGGCACTTTGTTGGACCTTTTGGCTACTTTAGAGATGGTGAGAGAGGGGATAAATCTGAATTTTAGTGGCACGAGTGGTGCAAGTTTGTGCCTATACTTGACAGAGTCAACGAGCCTTTTCTGTCAACTGCTATTTCTTTGCACTGAAATCAGTTGTTGTGAAAAACAGTCTTGCCTGTATTCTTTCTAATGCAGATGTTCAAATGGGTGCCCAGTCAGGAGTGTGAGATGTTTGCAGTAGGGTGGCTTTGGATTGCTTTAGAAATGAGCCTGGATACTGAAAATAGACTTAGCAAGGTAGTTTCTAAATGAGGCCTGTATGGTGTTTGTGTCCCCAGATAATTTTTTTTTTTTTTTTGATGCCACAATGCTGCAAAGGGCTCTGGTCTTGCTTATTGCTCTGAGCTTAGCGCGTGACTGGCATGCTACTGAGGATGTGAAATCCGGGTACAGCAACTGCAGGGCTCTGCTGCCTTCCAGTCACCCAGCTAAGCACTGGTGTTGTTACCATTAGGACATTACTTCTGTAGACCATTATCTGGAGCGTCATGGAAAGCTAGGCTCTTTCTTCTGCCTCTTGAGCAGCTTGCAAAGAGTTTTCAGTACAGAGAACATTCCCCTTCAGGTGAGGACACTAGCACAGGGAGTTGAGATAGTAAAAGGAGGCCTGGGAGAAATATGTGAGGTATGTTGGGAGGCAGGCAGAAGAGGGTGTGAGTGGTTCAGCACCAAGCCTAAGAGGGTTACTGCATGGAGAGGCAAGAATTTCCAGTCTTGTCCTCTTCACTATCGCACCAAATTACTGCCCACCGCCTGACCAGCATGCTTCCTTGCCCTTGGGTTTGCGCATCGATGCACCATGGTCACCTGTGGTATGGTAGGTGCTGTTATTGGACCCGTGCCTCAAGTAAGGAAATACACTGATTGTCTTTGGCAAGTAGCAATTTACTGCATATGCAAACTACCGCACAGCACCTAATCAGCAGTGGCTGCACACTCCTGCCCTCTAGCATGTAAGAAGGAATGGAAACCTTTACAGTGCAGTAAGCTTACATCAGATGATTGACAGCGAGAGCTGCATACAAGCTCCTTACCTGAAAAACTCTGGATGCTTCAGGTGTTGCATCTCAGCTGATGAGCAGTATGTGCTGTGCAACCCCAGCATCCAGAGCAGGGCTGTGGCTTTCTGGTCTGCAGGAGACTTGTGGTGGTGGTGGCAAGGCGTGGGCAGCCTGCTGTTAGGGTGATGGGAGGAGACACTGCTAAATGGAGCATGAGCATGGGGGTTAGTGATGTTGCTGAGCAACAAAAGGGAGCTGTTGGTAAGTCAGATTCACCTGGCTTTCCTGTCATTTAAGTTAGAGATAAATAGACTCAAGTCAGGGGAGGACTAGTGTTACTACTGGCACAGAACCACAATACAGCAGATTCCCTGACTGTAGCAGTCAGTGGAAACTTAACTGTACTACTTTGCAATCCTGATACTGTCACTTAAAGCTGGAGTAAAATTTTAAAGTGCAACTATAATGAAGGCTGCAGTGGATTGGCAAAGTTGCTTGTGTATAAAAGAAAGTTCAACACATTTCACTGTATGGCTGGCAGAGCTGCGGCTGGAAAGATGAGATTGAGCGGGGGAAAAGCTCCAGTAAAAATAAAATCAAAAAAGCAGGAGCCCTGGAAAAAAGCTTACTTTTGGAGTAATCTCATAGTGTTCACTCATCATAGAGTTTCAGATATGCTGCAGCTAAGAGCCTGCGCCTTCCATTGTGCACTCCGCGCTTTTCATGCTGGCAGATGAGCTAGTTTCAGATCTCTTTGAGTACCTGCGCTAAATTCCATTGTGCACTCCGCGCTTTTCATGCTGGCGGATGAGCTAGTTTCAGATCTCTTTGAGTACGTGCGCTAAAGCTGCAGCTTTTGCCATCCTTGGGACAGGTCATGCACCTTTGTCTGAGTGACCAGCAGTGCTGGCATGTGTGAGAAGCAACACCATGCCTTCACTTTAGGGAGCACCAGCAGTAAGGGTTGTTTACAGTTTCATAGCAGGACTTAACTGCCTACTGATAGAAGTATTTCTGTGAAATTGTGTGTTCTTCTCTTTTGGAGAACGGGATTTAAATCTTCCTCTGCCATCCCCTTTTCAACTTGATCGTGGTTCATTCATGCAGGATTAGGATAGTTCTGGCCTGAAAGAGACTCCTTTCTTAATTCAACAGCACTGAGCAGTGCTGTGTTGTCACCTGCAGGTGGCAATGTATATTTGAGGAGGGTTGGAGAGCAGAGATTTTTTTAAAATGTGTTTCCAGTTGGGAATAGTTCAGTTTGTGCCCAGTGACAAGACAGAACCCCACAGATGCAGCCTCCTGATGGCATACAGATTTTTGTTGTTGTTGTGCAGTGATTTCTAGCACTTACTGTACCACATGATGAGAGAACACATTTCCTTTGTTATTGATGACTAGAATATTAATTAATATTCTTAAGAAACCTGCCACTCATCTGTGACAAAACAGTTGCAAGTTCCTTTTTATTTTTTTCTTTTAATTCAGCCCTGTGACTGAAATGTCTTAATATGAATGTGTTCTGGGAAATTGCTTTCATGAGGAAAATAAGACACAAAAGATACTCAAATGAACATTGAGATGAGTAATATGACATCACAAACTGGTGAGGATTAGTCACTGATGAGCCACATCTGAACATCAGACAGGATGAAAATGGGGAAAGGTGGTTATTTCAAATCAAGACCCCAAAGAAAAACAAATAGCTATTTTCTGTAGTATGTTTGCTGGTTTTACTATTATTGATTTTATTGCTCCTGCTGTTCCTCTGTCACATAAGAAACACATGCTCCTTCAGGCACCAAGGTCTGTTCTGCCTCCCTTTAGATTAGAGCTGTACTGTGATGATACTGAGTCTTAATATTGAAAGTTTTCCTGCAGAGTTTAGAAGGACAAGAAAGCAGAGTAATGCTGATTTTAATATTCTTATAGTTTCAGGCTTGTTGCACTTGATAGAAAGAAGTTTCTTCATTCTAATTTTCTGAACTGAACTTAATTTCTGAAGTTGCCTGTTGATTGAAGTTTTTTGTTGTTTGGTTTTTTGTTTTTTTCCCCATTAACAGGAGTACGCTGTGAACTGTCATGTTATCACTTGGGAGAGAATCCTCAGCCACTTTGATATATTTGCTTTTGGGCATTTCTGGGGCTGGGCTATGAAGGCTTTGCTGATCCGCAGCTACGGGCTGTGCTGGACCATTAGCATCACCTGGGAACTCACTGAGGTAGGCCACCCACTTATCTTAATTATAAGCAAATGTATGAGACCCGAGTTGTTCTTGGGGGGAAGTGTGAATGTTGCTAGAAGGCTGACTCATTAGTTCTCAGTATAGATTTGTGTTTCAAGCCTTCTAAACCAGTTGCTGAGCAATTGGTGCAGTTTCATTAGTGAACAACAGCAGGCTGGGGTTTAGGTAAGTGAGTTAGTACTGCTGGAACAGGAGGGAAGTCTAGGCCAGCCTATTGTTGCCATCAATAATTTGTTTTCTGCTGTTACAGGGGTCAACACTCCTGCTACTTCAGATCTTGACCAATATTCCCTGATTCAGAGCAGTTATCCTCCTTTTTCACCCTGCAATATCTGTATTCTACTGTCATGATCCCCTTACCCCAGATACAACAGTATCATGCATTGTGTGGTCGTGCATACTGTACAGTGAAATGGAGTTGAAGGGTCCCTGAGGAAGGTGTGAGGACCCATGAGAAGTCTATGTGGAACGGCAAGACGCTATTCGGTGTGTTGTTTTCTGTTGTGAGGCCTGAGTGCATAGCCCTTCTTTTGTTAAATTGTACCCCACAAGCCTAGTTTGTTCATGTTCATTGACATAAAAATGTGGTTTTTACTAGACCTGGATCTAAGCTAGATCATACATGCTGTAGTCCCCTGCACCATGGTTTGGATGACCACTGATTTAATTTTGTCGCTTAGCTTTAGCACAGTTTTCCCAAGCACATGCTTAAATCGTTTGACTGCTGGCACTTTCAAATCCTAATTTGGATTTAAAAAAAATACAGATACTTGACTTGATTCAGTCAGTTGACTGTTGCTTGGAGTGATGGTGCTTATTGTTAGATCTGTTTTATGAATTCAAGCTGATTAATTGCTACTCTAGATATTTTCATTTGCATGTAACCTAGAGCTTGATTAGTAGAATATGTCACCTAAAATCCAAGGATGCATTTCTATAAAAATTAGTTTAATTTCATTATATTCTTTGACTAGACAATTCAGAGAAAAAAAAAATCCAATTTTTATCAGTTTTTGGGTCAGTGTAGTCTAACCTGTCACACTTAAAATAGTAAGTGTAGATGTAAACACATGAATTTAGTCTTTAAAATCAGAGTTTCCCATAGAGCTTGCTGTCTTGAGAATGCTTGGCTTATCTGACAACACATTTATAATTCAGTATCATAGATAAGGATTTAGTTGTCTGAAATTAAACTTCTGGGCTTGAAAATACTGGTGCCATGAGTTCCTTTTCAAAACATCTTTTTGTTCTGTGGCATTGAAGGATACGCTGTTTTCTAAGTTATTTTGAAGCTGCTTAAAATTGGGATTTCACAATTACCCGTCCACAAAAAAAAACTTTGCTAGTTATTGTACTCATTTTTTCCCTCTGGAAAAGAATAAATTTGGATTTGTTTCACACACAGTCCTATCATTCAGTTGATCATCAAACAATCGTCGTCTTCAGTTTGACACCACATGGGGTGTCTAGTATTCCCTGTTGTTGAAAGGCAGGTTATTGGAACAGACAATGTCTTGGGTAAGGCTCAACATATAGAGAGGTTATTACCACCGAAATGGGTTTTTAATGAATGAGTTAATTCAGGAGAGTCGTTAGAAACCTACAGAAGTTATCAGGGCAGTTACACAGGGATTTAGCTGTGCATCTCCTGTTAGTATTAATGGCTCCCTGTTCTGAAATGGGACACTTGGCTCATGCTCCATACTATCGGATTAGAGTTGGGATGCAGGCAGACCTTGGTCTCTCGTTCTGAGAAAACAGCTAGCACCTTAGAGATGGTCTGGCTAACACCTGTGTTCTGTTTTTTGCTGCCTTATTGTCTGCAACTTGTGGTGTCTTTGGTTGGATTCTTGCAGACTGGAGTTTGTAGCCTAGTGTCCCTTTCAGATTAATTTAATTTAAAACATGAAAGGGAAACTGTGGTAGGATAATGAGCAACATCATATAGCTGGGGTCCTGAAGAGAAATTAAAATTTTCTTTTCTACAGGTTGAAATTCCCATAGCCATGTCAAAGAAAAACAAGTTGCTTTGATATACTTTTGCAAGAGTTTTCAAAGGAACTGTCATTGTCAATATCAGTCACTGTAATTTATTATAAATGGACCAGTATTCATTCTTTCTGTATACAGAAAACATTCTTCATGTTCATTTTCCCACATCTGATTTTTTCAGTATTTTATTTATACATCTGTTAACAAAAGATATGTTATTACAAAATCATACCAATAATCTTTCACAGACATAGTGTATGTACATTAACTGACAAAAATTGTACTGGTTTTGTGGAAGTAGGAATATTCTTTAGTTTGTTGTGTGTTTTGTTAAGCATCTCCTTGAGTATTCCAAAGGGACTTCTTAACACATGGCTGTCTTGATTTCCAGTCCACAGCTAACTCTGTCAGTCTTATTTTTTTGGCTTGCGGTCATTTTTTCTTGCAGAATAACAAAACCAATTATTTTGTCTAAAAGAAGAATGAGAGGCACTGAACCCATTTCTAGCTCTCAGTAAATTATGTTTATATCTTGCCTTAACTCTGTCCAGTTGTTCTTCACTCTATCAAAAGTGTGAAGTCACCAAATGTATCTGTAAATATTTAATTGCCTTACTAATGGCTCATAGTGGTCTTCATTTAAGTTGTGTTCAAAAAGGAAGAGACTGCTTCAGAGGTAAACCGTTTGTCCGTCTTTAAGGGACTGAATGGGTTTTGATACATCCAGATGGTGTCAGCTTTTCAGTCTGTTGGTTTGGTTCTGGCCTGTTTTCTAGTATCTTCATTGTTAGTGCTTAGCAGAGACCAAGCAGGAAGGGAGAGTGGAATATCCTCTTAACTTCTTGAGCCATTCTGGCTCAAGTATGGCAGCAAAGTATGTAGTATCTGAAATATTGGTGAACTCTTAGTCTTTTTACAGTCACTAGATTTCCAAAAAATAGTAGATGAAAGAAAGAGTTTTGAAATAGAACAAGTCTTAAGTCCTGAACTCCAACAGGCTTTCATACTGACAGTTGTTACAAATGCATCCATTCTGCTTACTGCATCTTGTTACTGGTTTAGAAAACATACTTCTTAAAACTATTTAGCAAAAATAAAACTAAGATTCTCTTCAATTTATTTTTTTAAAGCACAAAACTCCTTCTTTCCTCGAAGAAATGCAGTAGTTTTGCTTGTTTCATGCATCTCTATGGATGTTCTCTGTGTCATATTTGAGAGGCCAAGAGCTGCGTGAAATCCTTATACACAGCATAGCCCCAACAGGGAACAGTGAGAAGGAAACCTCTGATGTCTTGTGTGGGTCTATCCAAGGCCTTCTGAAGTTAATGGAAGGATGCCCATCAAATTTCGGTGGTTGTGGCTCATGTCCTTAAAGTATGACATGTACTGAAAGGCTGATATTTGAATGTGTACTTAAAAAGTGAATTTATATGAATTCTGTGCTGTTCCTCACCCAGAATCTTTTTGCTGTATTCTGTAGCTCTTCTTCATGCACCTTCTGCCTAATTTTGCTGAATGCTGGTGGGATCAAGTCATTTTGGACATCCTGCTTTGTAACGGGGGTGGCATCTGGTTGGGCATGGTAGTTTGTCGTTTCTTGGAGATGAGGACCTATCACTGGGCAAGCTTCAAGTAGGTCTAAGTTAAAGCTTGATAAACATTGTATTTGACGTTACTATATTAACTCCATTTCCTTGGGAAATAGACCTTCTTTCCGTATATAAAACACACATGGTTTAGAAATAGCATGCAGTATGCATGTGCTAACAATGCTGTAAATTTGTTTTAAATGTTAAAAATCCATCTCAGAATAATGCTACTCTAGAGCAGGTATTTGTAAATATGATTTTATATAATTTTTCTTCGCGATCTGAGTTACAAGTATTGATGCCAAATGAAAGCATAAAGTATTAAAGCTATTTGTTTATTTTGTACAAGTAAAACTTTGAAGAAGGCAGTGAACAAAAAATGTAATTGTTTTCTCATTATACAATGTTTTTAAACTAGATCTGGGCTCACCTTGATAAGGCATTAGTGTGGCAATCTGTCAGCACTAGTTGTAATTGCAGAAGAGGAATCAGGCTGATTGTACCTGTTTTGTGAGTTGCCTAACCCCATTGCTGACCCTCTAAAATAAATAGAGTAATTGCAAAATAAAGTAGTGTTTCTTGTGTAAAAGGGCAACAGCTTGTGACATAGTGTCAGTTCCCAGCTGGCCAGGTATGGTTTCTTCTGTAGTTTTTTGCCCCTCTCCTCCCTTCTTCCCTGCCATTTGGTGGCAAACATGGTTATCTGCATGTTACCAATGGTCTAGATGAAACAGGATCAAGTACAATGAATTGCCAAAGGATATTGCCTTGTGAGATGGAAAAGGAGCTCAAATCTTGATTTCTGAATTGGTACGCCACTTGAACTTCTGTACTGCTTTCCTTTCTTACAAATTTGTTAATTGTTCTGAGAACCATCCAGCCTTTAGTCTCACTTAAATTTTCCTGCATTTCAATTCAGGAGGAATAATAAGCATTATAGAGTTGATGGTTTCTCTCTTTTTAGAGAGTTTACTGGAAGCTAAAAGAGCAGAATATCTATGGCAGGACTAGTCTTTACTGTCTTTGTGGAATAATTTTTCCTCGCGTTCTTTTAAATGCATGAATAGATTTCATTAGTATGAAGAAGAGCTGCATAGAATGAGAAGCTTTTGCTTGTGCCCTTCTGTTTTATTTTTCTTTTTTCATTGAATAAATGCAAATCTTAAAAGATTAGAAGGTTCTCCCTTACGTAAGATCCCGCTAGTCTAAAAGAACGCAAGCATCAGAAATAGCAAACCTGAATCTCTTTTTTTTTTTTTTTTTTTTTTTTTGGTCCAGAAGGGCCAGGGAAATAACAGGGTGAAAATTGACTTCTATCCCTGCTAGTCTTCCTTCAGAAGAGAAAACTGAGTTTTTCTTAGATTCCCTGTCCTTTGGATGCTGTTGCTCATCTGAATTAATGTTATCAAAAGCAAGAACCAGTAACACATCTGTCAGATGAACCTCCATTCACATCCCCTTTCAGAAGGGAATTTAAAAGCCTTCTAGCTGGTAATAGTGCTCACATCTCTCCAGATTTACGTGCATCTAATATCAGAACAGCAGGGGTTGTGTGTGCTGGAAGTGCAGTATTTTCAAACCTGTGGAGCCAGCCCCTTATGCAATTAATGAATCTAACAGATTTTTGAAGCATTGGTGTCAGTGAGCTCTAGAACAGGGAGTCTTTGGGATAGCAGGAGTGGCAGCTAGACTAGGAAGAAACACTCTCTAGATTTTCCAGGGGGGTTGCAGAATCCCAGTCCTTGTTTCTTTCCTTCATGGAGAGAATGTTAGTAACTAACTACAAAACGTTTCTGAGGACAGAGGAGGGTGGACTTTGATAGCAGAATGCACCCTGACTGAAATGCTTCATAGATTATATTTCTTAATAAATTAAATATTGCCTGGTACACAGTTGTGTCTATGAAGATCTCTGCTGTCCAGTGAAAAAGTGTGATTGTTCTCAAACGCCAGTAATATGGCTATTGCTTTTATTTTCTTGCATGTTGCTTGTATTTACTCCAGCCATTCTCTTTTTCTAGGGACATTCACACAACCACAGGGAAAATCAAAAGAGCTGTATTACAGTTCACCCCAGCCAGCTGGACTTATGTCCGCTGGTTCGACCCTAAGTCTTCATTTCAAAGAGTGGCTGGAATCTACCTTTTCATGATCATTTGGCAGGTAAGAAATAAATTCTGTGAGATCAAAGCTGCTATCAGCTCAGTTACTTGTTGGCTGTGTTTGGCTAGAAGGTATTCTAATGCAACGTATGTCTGTCATCAAAACACACAGTTAAATGAATTGATAATACAGAATTGATCAGGCCATTGTTCACGGGAGTTATGTGATAGTTGAGGAGTGTAATTACAGAATCTGTGGAAAAAAACAGACGTTACAGATTGCTGTACTGGACATAGATTGCTTTTTGCAATTGATAGAGTTTTAAAAACTGCTAAAACCACTAAACCTTTAAAAACTGTGGTGTTTTGGGGTGGATTTTTTTATTGGTTTGTTTTCAGTTTTATGGTTTTGGTTTTTTTTTTGTTGGGTGGGTTTGTTTTTGTTGTTTTGTTTTTTTTTTTTTTTCTTTCCCATTGACTGTTGGATGGGTCAGTGTTACTCAGGAATCTGGCCTTGACCCAGCAAGGCTCCATAATATGTCCAAACTGCTTTGGTACTTTGTCATACAAATGCTAGCAGACTTCACCAAAACTTCTGGGTTTTTTTTTTGGGGGTGTTGTTGGTCGTTTTTTGGTTTGTTTTTGGTTTGGTTTTGTTTTTTAAATTTGCTGAATTAATTTTTTAAAAAAAGAACCAGAAGTGTTTGATATGCATTTTTGTTTTAATATGATCTCTTCTACTTCTCTACCAAATTTGATTCTGTCATTCACAGCTGATTAAAGATATGAAAGTTATCAGAAGACCTCTGCAGTGTGAATTAGTGTCTCGTGCCTTAATGGGTTTCTGGAAAGACAGCAAATACTTTCATACAGATATCTAGGGGAGAATTCTTTGTTTTACTCGTATATTCCTTGCTTGTCCTAGAGCAGGAATCTTATGCTCGTTAAGGCCTCAATCTAACCAGCAGGGCTATAGTAAAGCATAAATAGTTTTCCTTATGTATTTTAGTTTCCATATTAATCTTTGCACATTTTCTGTAGTAACTCACTAAGAGTTATGTAAGTTGAACACTATTAACTACCTTTTTTTTTTTTTCTAGTTGACTGAGTTGAACACATTCTTTTTGAAACATATCTTTGTGTTCCAAGCAAGCCACCCTTTAAGCTGGGGGAGAATTCTCTTCATAGGAATCATTACAGCGCCCACTGTAAGGTAATTTTGTTGCCATGGTGTTTTTTTTTCAGTTTGAAGTAGCTTGACTTCTAGGCACCTAAGAACTGCATATAGTTTGTGCATAAGGAAATTATGCTTTTGCCACCATGAGAAACAAAACAATTACCACTTTTCAATAAAGTGTATTTTCTGAGAAGTAAACTAATAAGGTGAAATGTATATAAACAACCATGTTTCCATGGGGATGCAGAACCAGTGTGTTCCATCTTCTGTTTGTAGAGCATCTCCCTGTTTTGTGAGTTAGCTGCATATGTTATCCTTGAGGACTGCGTATGAAAGTATCCAAGTTGATGAGTCAGATGCTCACGAAAGTGTAGGTGAAGAAAAATAGAGCTCTTGTTTTTTATAACTGAGCTCCTTGTTCTGTTTGTCTACAGGAAATATTAGCAAGTTATAAGAAAAGATAGACCATTACCATATTGTGAGTAACAGAACAGTGTATATGCAGTATTAACAGTTGTGTAGAAACATTAACCTGCTTTTTAGTCATGCACACTATTTCATGTTGTTAGCAGTCCCCTTATTTTTTTTTTTTTCGTGTGACATAGCTGTAGGTAGACAGAATGCACACAGTTCTGAAGTTAGAGGCAGGGAATTTCCCATTCACAAGTAAAGTGATGTTACCTTGGACAGTCAATTCATTTTTTTACTTAAAATTTATTTAATTTGTCAAATATTTATTTTATAAATAAATATT